TGGTGTTCTCAATGAGATTCAAACCATGTACCCACTATTTCAGACGTCAACACGTTATCCACTAAGCCACATTTTGGGCCACAAGAAGCGCCACTTATGAACATGGCTATCGGCTATATCATTTTTCAGGCTTATTATTGTATTTCCCTGTGATTCGTAACATATTGTACCTAAATATTAACACTGTGAAATGCATATCCTGGATTCCACTGCTAGTCATCATCTACCAAATAACAGTAAGCTGAGTATGCGTTTATATGAATACTGTAAAACAACAGATTGTTTTTATTTTCCTACTAAATAATTAGCATCATACAACAGATAATAATTATAAAAATAATAATAATAGCTCTATCCTGAACACTATTCACATAATGTACAGAAAATTTCATCGGAACTTATTGCATAATAGTTTCTCTTTGTGCAAAATTTTCTAGTGAAATATACTACTTGACGTCAGTAAATCATGTGACACACTGCGCTGTCTGACCTGAAGCGTTAACCAATTTGCTTATGATCATATAGATTTCTTCTTCTTTGCTTCCTTCAAGAAATACCTAACACATTTGGTTAAAAGCCAACTTTTTTTTAAAAAAAGGTGCAGGAGTACTTCTTTCTTGCGATGACTATGAAGTCAACCACGTATGTCAAACTAGTTAGTCGGGGATAGTCAGATTGTGGGAACATAAGAATTTAACTAAGGTTAGAATGATTGATCCCACGAAGATGAGTAAGTTAGAAAAAAATCTCAGATATCACACACACACAACCATACAATAGGGTGTGTGTGTGTGTGTGTGGGACAGAGTCCAAATCCTAAAAAGTAATATAGGTAGGTGGAGAGAGAGAGACAATGATTACTGAATCCTTGTTCATCGAGTCTACACCCAACACATGCAACAGAAATGACTCAACGCAAATACCAGAGATATGAAAGGTATTATTGGCGGTCAAATCACAGGGCAATAGATAATTTTAAGATGTATTCAACTCACATACACTATGACATTCTAACAAGTTACTTATTTATTTTACTATAAAAACACTCGTCTTATTTCCCATCTGATTGTATTTGATTGGTAACACTAATATTGTAAAAACAGAAGACAAGGGCCAGGCAACAGATTGTTTATTAAGGAAATCAACACCTATATACATATATATATATATATTTCATGTACATTATTATAGCTTATTCAAGCAGACAAACACAGCCTTTTGGTTGGTTGTTTCTTGCTCAAGGTTATTCTATACTGCCTCTGACTGGTTTCTCATAGAGTTAAGCCATATATCTGCAAATCGTATTCGCCCACGTTGAGTCTGCTGTGATTGGTCGTTGAATCAGTCTTGTTCATATTTTCTCACGGCCAATATTAGCGACATAGAAAATGACGTAAATTATTGTCTACCAATTGGCTAGCAGCCTGCTCTCACCGCAATAGTTGCTTCCAACAGAGAAGACACGTTGACATCCACCATTAAATATTTGCTCAGGTTTAATAGAAACTAACGAATCAGCCGATTATAAACACTTAATACTCACGAGAGTAGAAAACACCATTAGAGGTCATACTTGAAGAATAGATTAAAACAAAGTGTGTGTTTCTTTTTAATTCATGAAAAATTCCCATTGTAAGACACATAGAAAATTAAAACAAGTGATTCAGCCTAAAAGACTCCTTTCAACGAATTTATTATCCAGCTGTATAATCAATCATATATAAGACAGCAGTGAATTCTCAAAACCAGCCAAGATAAACGAGACGGAATTAATCGAAAAGCAACTCACTGAAGCTTTAAAGAGAATAAAGAACAATCACCTTATTTGTGAAGAACTTTACGAAAAGAATTATTTTATTTTTATTTTGATTATAGCTTGATTCCACACCGTAGTTTAATATAAGTAGGGAATTTTCAGCATGTGATATCGGTAGCACAAATTTAGCAGGCCGACTAATATTATCGGGTGTGTTTCGGCAGGGGATCGAACCCGGACCATGTCCATGGTCGGCGAGAGTCCTAACCACTGTGCCATCGACGCACAAAGCGCTCCCGCGCCGGGAGTCAAACCCGGGCTGCCTGGGTGAGAGCCAGGAATCCTAACCGCTAGACCAGCAGGATCTCTAATACCAAGACTTTATAGTCTACCAACATCTGGTAGATAATAATCACCCTACCCCCCTAGAACCTCCACCTTTAAAGTCATCTACAAGACAAAAAGTAATTTGCCCAAATCATTAACTATCCAACTCATCTGTATTGCTGAAACAGATGCAGCTATGGAAACAGAGAAGTCAGATCTCTCTGTATACAGAAGAAGTTTGTTCAACCCCTTCAACTTTTATGGTGTCTTAATTACTCGATGCTACAATATGTTAATTTCCATTCATAGTTTGCCTCTACTCGTTATTTTTCGTTTTGTTTATTTTATTTGTATACCATCCCTTTATTACGTCAATTGTTACTATTATTACTATTTTTCACTTTGAACTGTCCCCGGTATTATTTCACCTGCACCACTTATCATTCTACATATCAATTCTGTCTTGCAACATTAAATTCTATGTTATCGAATTTCGCACAGTGCTACGTAACGTTTTTACTTTTGTTCTATTTGCCCATTAATCTTATAATTGCACACTCCTTCTGAGTTCTAAACATCCAATGAATTATTCTATGTATGACATCAGTTGTTTTGCCCCTTGACATTTAACTATGATTATAATCATAAATATTTTAATTTTAACTGCATATCATACTGTTGTAAGAGCAAGCTGCTATCCAATTAATAGACATTAATTTACGTCATTTTCTATGTCTACGTGTTGATTTCCTTAATAAACGATCTGTTGCCTGGCCCTTGTCTTCTGTTGTTACAATATTAGTGTTACCAATCAAATACAATCAGATGGGAAATAAGACGAGTGTTTTTATAGTAAAATAAATAAGTAACTTGTTAGAATGTCATAGTGTATGTGAGTTGAATACATCTTAAAATTATCTATTGCCCTGTGATTTGACCGCCAATAATACCTTTCATATCTCTGGTATTTGCGTTGAGTCATTTCTGTTGCATGTGTTGGGTGTAGACTCGATGAACAAGGATTCAGTAATCATTGTCTCTCTCTCTCCTCCTACCTATATTACTTTTTAGGATTTGGACTCTGTCCCACACACACACACACACCCTATTGTATGGTTGTGTGTGTGTGTGTGTGTGTGTGATATCTGAGATTTTTTTCTAACTTACTCATCTTCGTGGGATCAATCATTCTAACCTTAGCCAAATTCTTATGTTCCCACAATCTGACTATCCCCGACTAACTAGTTTGACATAAGTAGTTAACTTCACAGCCATCGCAGGGTATTTTGTAGATTATATTATTTTGTTTAATTGTGTCCACCGGGTATTTTTGCCTACAGAGCTTGTCTCTGAGTGAGCTTTAATGTTTGAATACTACTCTTATTCCTGCTTTATTGAGAATCCTACATAGGGAGGGCTTCAGATGTCCCTTCCTTATATGGTAAAACTATTACTGTAGATGCCTTATATATTCTTTCTTATTTGAAGAATCTTAGACTCGGAAAAAAACTCCCTAATTCTCTATTCGATATTAGTTCTAAATGAAATCTGACTGAAAATAAATTAAATCCCTAGAAATCAATATTTGGAAATTTAAAAGTACCAGTAACTTGATTGTATGCACTCCAATACTGTCTGCAGGGTAGTTACTTGGGAGAGAATTTTAATAAATTCCGAGTCATGTACAACTCATACATTAACAGAAATCATTCTAGGACATTCATATATTAATCTTAAGCGCACTCCCTATACATATGCGTATATATATATATATATTGTTTCCTTTAATTCCTAGAGGAACATAGGGCTTCAGCCGCACGTCTTCATTTCGTTCGAATCTTCACACACGTTTTCACATGGCTCCACATCTGTCCCCACATGCTTTCATCTCCTCTTCACATCACCTCCTCCATGTCACTCTCGCACCGACGACCAACTCACCGCTTCCCATTCGGGTTCCACCCAAGCGATGACCTGGCGTTTGATGTCACTTGATGGTTTCCTCAGAGTATGGCCAATGCACCTCCATTTCTTCCTGCATATTTGTTGCACAATTAGTTCCTGATGGGTTGGTTCGTTCCCAGAGATCCTTGTTGCTGATCTTTTCTGGCCGACTATCTGATTTTGAGTATTACTGAGCGAATACAGCTGTTGATTAAGGTCTGTAATTTGTTCCAAGCGCCCTTCGTGACGCCTGCACCAAGTCTCTGATCCGTATAGTAGTACTGACTTCACATTGGAGTTGAAAATCCGAATCTTATTTTTCATGCTGAGTGCTGTTCACTTCCACACAAATTTGAGAGTAGTGAAAGCTTACTTCGCTTTCTCGATCCTCGCTCCGATATCCTCATCAGTTCTGTTCGCCTGTAGTTGAAACGATGCTTCACAGGTAAGTAGGTAGCTAGGTAGGCAGGTTGATGAAGGAGGTTGCTTCTTACAGAGTTTTCCATTTTGTGTTGATTGTTGTCTGTCGTGGTTGCTTTGGTCGTTGTTGCTGTTCGCCAGGAATCTTCATCACTTCTGTTTTCTTCGTGTTCACCCGAAGTCCTTCCTATCTTTGATGCTTCTTCTATCGCCAACTTGTTGCTGTTCACTCGCATATCTTCCAATTTGTAGGAAATCAGACATATGTCATCATTGGTGAAGTCTGGATCCTCCAAGTTTTATTTTGTGTGGGTCCATTTTATGACTAATTCTTCACTGCCCACCGTTGTCTGTCGCAATATCCAGTCTACTGCAATCAGCAAAATCATTGGAGATAGTAGGCAGCCAACCAGCTTTGTTTTACTCCCATCTTCACTTCGAAGGATTCCGTGAGCTTCCGTACATATATATATATATATAATTCGGTTTTTAAAAAGTTTCAGATCATAGAAAAGCAAAAGAATGAAGAAGAAGAAGAAGAATAAAAACTTACTCGTTGACGTTTCAACTTTCGTCTAGACATTCGATTCTGACAGATAATAGTCAAGCGTTCAGTTAAAAAGAAGATATATATGCCTAGTAGAGCTATGAGTGCTTCTAAAATCATTTTTCGATGTGGATTTATTTCTGTTAATGATACAGGCTCATAAGGATTATGATTATCATGCCCATGTTCATCATGATGATTGTCATGCTTATGATGATGACCGTTAGAAGAAAAAGCCTATGATGAAAGTAAAAACAAAAGGAGAGAAAAATCAATAAATTGGTATAATATTATGTAGAAAAAAAAATTGGTAATAGTGTATTGATGTTGCTGGAAGTCAGTTAATCAACATAGAATTCTTTTTATTTCAAGCTAAAAGCCTTACACTATATATTGTATGATGGTTCATGATGCGACTACTATTGCTGCTACTGTGGTGTGTGTGTGTGTGTGCGCGCGCGCTATTAACAAGATTTATCAGTGATATCTTAAGGATATGTGTACTGCTCAGCTGTTGTTCGCTTCGTCCTCCTTTATGGTTAGCTGTGACACACGATCATTGAAAGTGGAGAGCATGCACAGCCTGGCTAGTTAGTTATCTTTGATCATACGTGTCCCCATTCTACCTCTCGTGTTAGATAGCGTAATAAGGTGGGTAATATAATATGTTAGGTTTCGGTCGACGTTGTGAAGTTACATCGACTGAAATGTTTAGGATATGTGTTAGGCATACCTGGTCAGTCATCCATCGCCTTTCTCAACAATGAGCAATGTTAGCCGCTAACGCATAGGATCCATCAGGTTGGAAAGGTGCTAGAGATGAGTGGTGGTCAAACCAAAAAAATGTCTACATCAGTCAATCAAATCCAAAACAGTTAGTTTAAGCCAGCTAGCAAGCCAGCCACATAGGGAGGTCTAGACTTCCTAGGGGTCGTAAGAAGCAACGGCGACTGGAGACGACTGATGATATGGCTCAAAATGCTCGTTCTCGGTGATGGCTGGCGCAGATGCATTCACTCTTTGTGATTTTTCATATCCAATAAAACTCTATTGTTCTTCCGTATTACCACTCTTTTCCCCTCACATTTCTGTGTATTATCTCTCCTTTGATTCCCTCTTTACTTTCTTCTTTCGGCTTGGGTGCTACGTGGAGGAAGAGAGGCAACTCGAACTGCTAAACATCTGTGCAAAGTTCTGTGTTGAAACCAGTCAGCAAGTCAGACGAAATAAAAGTGTGGCATTACTACGTAATTTGTTCGTTTTACTTCTTAGTCTATTGTTTCCGATTAATGACAATTATTCACAAAAATTAACACATACATATTATAAAAACAAATAAAGACTGATTATCAATTAGCCGCTATATTTTTATTTCAATACGATAGCTAGTGTTAAGTGCTGATCAAAATACTTGCATATCTATACGATCAAATGATAAAAGTGATCCAAGTTACCCACGTGTTTTGTACTATTCAGTGTTACTAAAGTATATATAGATAGGTTTATACAAATGGACAAACTAGAATTGGGACACAAAAATCACCATATATATCCGAATAGCCTAACCGTACAAAGAAATATATGTTACTAGTCTTGATGACAGACCATATTTCATCTGTATGCTACGTAGTTCAGTGCAGTACAGAACATGTATGTCACTCTGTCTGTTTTCGACATAGAACTTTGCACATATGTGCACCAGTTCAAGCCGCCACACTCCACTCCTTGTAGCACACAAAGCAAGAGAAGAAAGTAGAAGAAATACATAATAGAAACAGTGAACAGAGGTGTGAGACAAAGGAGTAGTAAAAACGAAGAACAATATAGTTTAATTGGAAATCATAAGTCACAGGGAGTGGATGCATCTTCTCAATTGAGATCGATTTTGAGCCATATCACCAATTGTTTCCAGCCCCCATTGGCTTTTACCGTCCCGAGGACCCAAACAAGATAGGAAGTCTACATCTTCCTACGTGACTGGCTGGCTTAAACGAACTGTTGTGGATTTCATTGACTGGTAAAGCCATGTTTTGGTTTGACCACCGCTAGCTCTTTTCCAGCCTAACCCTATGTCAGCCAACATTGCCCGTCTGTCGAGGAAGGCGATGACTAGGCGTACATAACACATGTCCCAATCATCTGAGTCGATGTAATTTCACAGCCTCGTCGATTGATTTCCCCTGCTTACGTAGAACCGGACGCCCAACCTCAATACTGCTCACCTTATCATACCACTTCACTCAGGAAATAGAACGCAGGCACCAATATCAACGACAGCTAATCTTTTCATGTCTTCCACTCTCAATGGCCAGGTCTCACAGCCATAAAGGAGGACGGAGCGGGCTGATGAGCAGTACACCCGCCCTTTGGTCGATAGGCAGCCGGACATCATGTCTACGGCAGAGAAGGCGTAAACTGGCATATGCGAAACTAGCCTTCTGTATCCGTGCTGAGATTTCGTCAGAGATCAACCCGTTGGCGTTGGCTGATGGTACTTCCCAAATAAGTGAAGCGGTCAACGTGCTCTACCACTTCACTATTTCTAATCTGGGAGTGGCTGCAGTCCAGTCCTGTAACATCATCTTGCATTTGGCGGGAGGGAATCGCATGCCAAACATTCGTAGATTGCAGCTTAAGGTGTTCGGAAGACTCTGCATTTTATCAGCGTCTTCGCCTAGGAGGACTATATTGTCTGCATATTCTAAGTCAACGAGATTATTCCCTGGTAGCAAGTCAATCCCTGAGTCGCTGAAGTGAGTTAGGGTTAAGTCCATTAGTACATCTATGATGAAATTGAATAGAAATGGGGATAACAGAACATGTTCATGCATTACATGATATGAAACATCTTATTGAATGCTGCTGATAACAACACTAACCAACTATGAACTGAACATCCTAATTAGTTGAATGGACTTCAAACTTTACACACACACCTAGTGGAACCCAGTTATCCCGAAACAGATTTCTCATGCATCAGGGGCTAAGAGCTACACTTATCTTCCGAGGACTGATGCCTGACATGAAGTAGGTGAACTCAAACACAAAACCGGTTGTCTCGATTGGCTGACAGCATACACCAACGAAGGACATCTTCAAGACATTCAGTCACAGTCGAATTATATAACCGTAGCAAAATGATCAAATTTAGTGATATAAAGAATATGCGCTCATACGGCAGCTGTGTATGGTGAATTATTACTACAGTGGTGATCGCTTAGACAACCACCTTCATATTAAAAATACTTGAATAGTATTCACTGAGTGCATCGGTGGTAGCACAGCGGTAGAATTCTCACCAACCATGCAGGTGAATCGGGTTCGATCCCCGGCCACGGACGTACTCCTTTACTTCAACTAAGCCAGTAATAAGACTGGTAAAGAGGGAAGGTTGGGTAAAAGCGTAAAAGCAAAATCACCGCTGCAACTGAAGCTTCAACGCTCTAGCTTAAAGCTCTAAGTTCCACTGGGAACGTACGGAAATGAAGAAATAAAAAGTGTTCATTGAAATTGGACAATCTGTATGTTGTGGAATAGGCTAATGAATGTAACAACGAAGCTGTGCAGTCAGATAAGAGATTTTTACGTTAAAAAGAATAAATAATTTTAAACTTATTCATTCTATGCAATAACAGATAAATCAATCAGCTTACATGAGGTATTAAATGAAGGAAAGCATCACCAGCAAGTGAGCCAACCGCAAGTGCAATAAGAAATTGAGTTACAACATTGTAGAAACTTCTTGACATCATTGGGACTAAACAGACAACGACTAAACCTGATGCACTCACCAACAACACAGCACCGGAGGCAGCTAGAAAAGCTGTAAAAATAAAAATAGGATAAAGAATTTAATCGACTTGAACAAAAAAAGTCAATATGACTAAAGAAAATGGATTGTGTGTATCAACAAAATGGTGGATAAAATAAAAACAAAACTGTCAATTTACTGAGATGTCGAAGGCAACGACGTTTTCCTTGAGGATACTCGTTACTTTCAGTGGTGCTACGTCCTCTTAATTCTCATTCCCTACTTGACTGAGAGAATTCAGTCAAGGACTAGGCACATTACACTAGTTACTAACAAGCTTTCAATCAAAGTATCCAACACAGTCTCCAACGGGCGATCAATCACGAGTCCACATAGCACAGTGATAACGTCTCTGACTGCAGCACACTGGGTGATGTAGGTCTGAATCTCAGGAAGGACATGAGTCCCTTCAAGATCCAATCAAAATAGAATTAAAAACCACTAAAGTGAAGGCTTAGTCACCTTTTCATGCTCCAAGATGGTTGTATATCAACTAATTGCATCTAGATTACATATCTTCAAAGAGAACGTATCTGACTGATCTTAGGCGAAAGCCGTCTACACTCTAAAGCCGGCTAATAAGACAACCTGTGTTTGGGCATGGGAGGAATTAATCTATAAGCTATACTTCGAAGAGGGAAAGAGACAACATAATATTAAATATCTCGATTAATCAATTTATTGCTAAGATTAACTTTATACGGAATTGAATTTTCAGAATATATATATATATATTGCAGCAATTTTATTTCCTATACAAATAAAATAGTGCGTCAGTGGTCCAGCAGTAAGACTCTCACCTACGACGCCACACGTCGTCTGGGGTTCGGTCCCCGGTGGACGCACTCCTAAACCGCTCTAAGCTGTTAGAAAAGCCGGTAAAGAGGGAAGGTCGGACATCAGGCTAGCAACCCTGTTTTCCGCAAGAATAAAACTACTGCTATCGAAACTTCAAAGTTCTAACTTGAAGCCCTATATGTTGTACTCGGGATGTAAAGGAACAAAACATTAATAATACAAATAGAACCAAAATAGGCAACCACGAACACTGAAGTTGCTGAAAATGTTAATGTGGATCATAAAAGTGTAAAAGTGATTGCTGGGAGAGAGTAGCTGTTCACTTACAGATTAAATCAATAAGGTTTTCAGCTCTTATTCAACGTTTCTACCTCCATACAAAACTCGTGCTATGTCGTGTATGGTGGGATTTTCGTATTTAACACTAAGAGCATAGAGTTCAATGAAATTGCTTCTGTGTTTTCTTGAAGAAATACAGGGAAGAATATTCGAATAAAATGAGTGCTCAATATTCAACAAGATAACCTTAGCAGAATGCTTGCTTGTAGCAAGTACAAAAACTCAACCATACTCTAGTTAGCTCGTGTTCAGTTTGATAAAGAAAGCATTAGGCGTGAAACTTACAACTTATTAAATAGTCAATAGAACAATTGGATCTCGTCTTTCCAATTCATATCATTTATAGGTACAACGTTTTCTTTCTTTCTTTTCCTTTTCTCTTTTTTTGTGCTGTTTCGTTTCTCTATTCCTTACAAACTCTACTGAAAGCATTCTTCCTTGTTCTTTCACACCCTGTATATCTCGACCTTTTTGTTACCGCTTACGTCAGTAAATGTGCTAGTATCTACTTTTCTAACACCTTCAAACATTCTGTTCACTTTTGGCTTTCCTACCGATATGCTAATATGGTGTTGTCAAAATCAGCTGAGACTACTCATAATCTATGTAGAATTTTATTTATTGTTAATGCACAAACTGGATGTAATGCTGTAGTGAAATGCTGAGAATTCCATTCTGTATCACAAGTACTATTTTGGAATAAAGCAAATTATTATTTTGATTACAGCTTGATTCCACACCGTATTTTTGGTATAGGTGTGAAATATTCAGCATGTGATATTGGTAGCCCAAATTTTGCAGGTCGACCATAGATATCAGGTGTGCGTCGACAGGAGATCGAACACCCCAGACCATGTGCATGATCGACGAGAGTCATAACCGCTGTGCCTCTCAACAGCCGTTGAGCAAATATAGCGAAGGAAAAGGAGATGAAATGAATAAACCCTGAGGAAACTTCTGGGTGACATCATACGCCAGGTCCAAGAGCGTGAACCATGAACCATACATGAAACGAAAAGTTGGGGCATGCGATGGACCTGAGGGTAATACATGGAGGAAATTGTATGAGAAGGAAATGAAAGTTTACGGGCAATCATGAAACCAGCTAAAAAGGACCGCGGATAACATGATCAAGTAGAGATATGCTCTGGAAGATCTATGTACCACTAGGAACGCAGAGGAAGTTATACTAATCAACAACAGTGACAGATTGTTGAGTCAAATGAATACCACTAATCCGCTTGCGAATGGACGCTGAGTTATATTTTATATCTAGTTCAAATGAACTCAGCCCACCCACCCACATACCCCAAACGTACACCTGTTGACTGAATATCACTATCAAAAATTTCCACACTGCATCAAACAGACTAAAGGATAGACCATGATAAAACTTTCCACAAAATTATATCCCTTCAAATTGCTACAATTCGATAAAACTACACACAAAAGATATGAATGAATGAATGAATATATACACTGCCTAGTGTGAACAACTTCCAATCATGCTATCAACCCTCTATTCGTAGAATTACAATGATACTCCTGTAAGAAGACCTGGAAGTAAGTAAATGCCTCACACCAATGGTCCTATATCCAGCAGATTTATGTGTGGGTTTCAGCATCCACCCCCCACCAGTATTTCTCAAACCCAAACCCAGTTCTACAATGGCTGACAACTGTTTGCCGAAGAAGATGGTGTTTCAGTGTAAGGGTATACATCTCCCGGCAGCCACAACTAGTGAAAAATTATTTTTCTTCGATATGACTTATTATACAATCCTAGGTAACTTGCAAAGTACTATTATTATTATCATTATTATTATTATTTCCTTTAATTCCTAGAGGAACACATAGGGCTTCAGTCGCGCATCTTCATTGCGTTCGGTTCTCTCCAACAGTTTTCACCTGACTTCACACGCTTTCATCTCCTCTTCACATGACCTCCTCCAAGTCACCCTTGCACGGACGACCAACTCACCGCTTCCCATTCGGGTTCCACTCGAGCAATGGCTTGTCTAGTGATGTCACTTGATGGTTTCCTCAGAGTATGGCCAATCTATCTACCTCCATTTCTTCCTGCCTATTTGTTTCACAATCAGTTCCTGGTTGGTTCGCTCACTGCCAGAGATCCCTGTTGCTGATCTTTTCTGGCCATCTGATTTTGAGTATTACCGAGCGAAGACAGCTGTTAATGAAGGTCTGTAGTTTGTTTGAGGCGCTCTTTGAGACGCGCCGAATCTCTGATCCGTATACACTAGCACTGACTTCACATTGGAGTTAAAAATCTGGATTTTATTTTTGATGCTGAGTGCTGTTGACCTCCACACAGACTTGAGAGTAGTGAAAGCTTATCTTCCTTTTCCGATCCTCGCTACTTTGATATCCTCGTCAGTTCCATCCGCCTGTAGTTGAAACGATGCTTCCCAGGTAGGTCAGTGAAGGAGGTTGTTTCTTTCAGGTTCCTCCCATTTATGCTGGCTGATTATTGTCTGTTGTTATTGCTGTTGGTGTTGGCCAGGAATCTTCATCATCTCTGTTTTCTCTATGTTCACCTGAAGTCCTATCTTCTCCGGATGCTTTCTCTGCCAACTCGCTGCTTTTCACTTGTATATCTTCCAGTTTGTGAAAAATCAGACATGCGTCATTATCGGAGAAGTCCAGATCCTCCAAGTTTTTTGTAATGCCTGTCTCCTGATTGTCCACTGTCTGTCGCATAATCCAATCTACTGCAATCAGGAAACTCACTGGAGAGAGTAGACAGGCAGCTTGTCTTACTCCCATCTTTACTTCGAAGGGTTCCGTAAGTTTCGCGTTGTGGATTAGTTGACATGCAGCATTGTCGTACAACTTTTGGATGAGATGTATAATTGTCGGCGGCACCGCATACTAGCAAAGTAGTTGCCAAATCACCTCTCGTTCGACGCTGTCGAAGGCCTTTTCAAGCAAAGTACTATAGAGACACAATTTTACCAACTATATCTCACAGAAGTAAAGCGTGACGGATAGAATTCAGTCTACACCAACACAAAGGAATAGACACACACACTATACTAGTTACTAACAAGCTTTCAATCAAAGTATCCAACACAGTCTCCAACGGGCGATCAATCACGAGTCCACATAGCACAGTGATAACGTCTCTGACTGCAGCACACTGGGTGATGTAGGTCTGAATCTCAGGAAGGACATGAGTCCCTTCAAGATCCAATCAAAATAGAATTAAAAACCACTAAAGTGAAGGCTTAGTCACCTTTTCATGCTCCAAGATGGTTGTATATCAACTAATTGCATCTAGATTACATATCTTCAAAGAGAACGTATCTGACTGACCTTAGGCGAAAGCCGTCTACACTCTAAAGCCGGCTAATAAGACAACCTGTGTTTGGGCATGGGAGGAATTAATCTATAAGCTATACTTCGAAGAGGGAAAGAGACAACATAATATTAAATATCTCGATTAATCAATTTATTGCTAAGATTAACTTTATACGGAATTGAATTTTCAGAATATATATATATATATTGCAGCAATTTTATTTCCTATACAAATAAAATAGTGCGTCAGTGGTCCAGCAGTAAGACTCTCACCTACGACGCCACACGTCGTCTGGGGTTCGGTCCCCGGTGGACGCACTCCTAAACCGCTCTAAGCTGTTAGAAAAGCCGGTAAAGAGGGAAGGTCGGACATCAGGCTAGCAACCCTGTTTTCCGCAAGAATAAAACTACTGCTATCGAAACTTCAAAGTTCTAACTTGAAGCCCTATATGTTGTACTCGGGATGTAAAGGAACAAAACATTAATAATACAAATAGAACCAAAATAGGCAACCACGAACACTGAAGTTGCTGAAAATGTTAATGTGGATCATAAAA